ATTTGATCAGTAAAATGGATAGCAAGTACAAATTGTGCTGCTTGTACATTTTGTACAGCAGCAGACTAAAAGAAGTGAGGTAATACAAATGGGAAAATAACTATAATGCATCAGGTTTGTGCCGGGGTGCATCAAAGGAAGTGTGAGGTAGGGTTTTTTTAAACCAAACCTTGTCACTGATTCATCGTTCACTGTGGCCTGCCCTTGAGGTGCAAATGTAATCTGATTTGATTTCCTCACCCACCATGGCCACCTGGTGAGCATAATCATCCCTAGATGCGCTTCCTTTTTCAGTCGGAGCTGAAGGACTTCAAACCTTTATTATTCCAATGCCTCCTGTGGCTCTAAATGGAAGAGTAGACGTTAAGATACTTAAAAAAAAAAATGTGTTTTGTATGTTTTTTGATGGCTTGAGTACCTTTAATTTAAAATTCATAACATTCACAGGAAATTATTAAAATGTTTGTTTTTTTACATAAAGATCTCTGGATTTTATTTTATTTTTTTCCTTAAACAAATCTCCTTTTTTAAATAAAGCCTCCTGTGGATAAATTTGTACACAGCCTGTCCTCAAACAACAACAACAAAATCAGGTGCACAAAATTGCATCAGTTTTTAATTTAAATAAAAAAGTTTCTTTAGTCAGACTGATCAGCAACCCAACAGTGACAGCACATCAACTTGCAAAAGCTCAACAGTTTACGCTGCTTTAGATCTGACATCCTTGGAAGTGTCTCTCTCAGCCACTCTTTCCCCCACCATGCTGCTTCTCTCTCCGTGCTTCACAAAAGGCCCACAGATCACCTGAGGGGATTCTGCTTTTCTCCCTTTACGCCGTTCTCACTTTTTCCCCCCTTCCCTTCCTCTCTGAGCTCTCGCTCCCCTCATGCATGCCGACTGCAATAGCTCTCTGCACCGTTTGATCTGCCAGTCTGAAATGATGGAGGGCACAACACAGTGCTGCTCATCTCTGGAGAGAGTGTGGCTGAGACGGCGACGTATAGCAGAAGACGACATACTCTTCCGTTTAAACACAGCGTCTTCCTAAAGCAGCCAATGCAACAGTACACTGGGGGATTATGTGTGCAATTTCAGGCTATATAGCACTGTGAAAAAACAAGATCCTATATGAAAAGTACAAATATGTTTTTTTAAAGATGGAAAACGTATGTTAACATTGTCAAAGGAAAGTAAATTCTCTGTTTTTTAAGGTATTTAAGGTTGTTTTAGGCACACTTCTCACAATGATTTCTGTTTTGCTCTGATAAATAATGACATGGCTCCTTAACACACGTTCTTTGTTAAATTTATATAAAATATATTCACAAAAACAAGGTGAACTGAAAAATAGCAGAGTCCATGTTAAGTCTGAGTAATAATATTATGGCTTCATGCTATCACAATTAGCTTTTTAGCTTAAAAAAAATCCATGAGCGTTTATTGAAGCCATTTATTCTTACGGTTTCAGCTCTGTCTGGACAATTATGTAATTTTCTGCAGTGTTTTCCATATTTTTATAAGCATGGAGAAAGAAAGTAGTTTTGAAAACTACCTGTAGTCCAAGACTCTATTCCATATCCCATCCTAAATGTTGTCTTTCCTTTTTTCTTCCCCCTTTTATTCTTTCCTTCTGTTTTTCCTTCCTCTTTCTGGGCTTTTTCTTTTCCCATCCTGCCTTGTGTCTTTGGGTTCCTACACTATAACTATGGGTTTCATTTTTTTTTCTCCAAGAGTAAAACTTTTTCCAAACAGCCAGCTTTATCTTGAGGGAAAAGTGGAGTATTGCATCCTTCTGTCAGTCAGTCGCTCTCTGGCCTCTTTAAAAGGACTTGAAAAAATCTGACATATAAAAATGGGTAAAATAAAAAAAAAACAAAAAAAAAAACAACTATATTTCAAACTTCGCTATACCTTTTTGTATAACTTTCAGTAAAGCAGCAAAACCCTATCGGGTAGCTAAATGAAAAAAAAAAAAATAATAAAAAATGCACTTGCCATTATAAAGACTGCTGCAGACGTCACAGTTTTGTGTTTTTTACTCAAAGCAAACGTCACAACACGACATTTTTAATACAGGAAGGACATTAGCAAACACTGTAATAATCCTCTGACTGGTTCTTAATCATATGTTCCATTAGGCTGCTTCTGACTGTCAGTTTTTTAGGATGTAAACAGTGTGCTGGAGCAGAAAGTGGCACCTACTGAGAGAAAGATGGTGATTACAGTAATCAAGACTTTTTCAGCGAGGAAAGCAGAAGACAGAAATTAGGAAACAAGATGAACTGTCACACTCCAACTCAGACGAGTGAGGAGAAGATATAATATTTGATAATGTATGAGCTCATGAGTTGGCATATGCATATTTCATAGACTTTCAAGACACCATGTGGGAGGAAGAGGACACTCGTGTGCATAATATGCACTGAGCTGAGGACTGTTTTATTTATTTTTTTATCCCTGCATAACGGTGCAATATTGTGTAAAATCAATATTTTTGAGCTTTACATTATCAAAAACATACCTTGAGTGTGTGTTTGAGAAATCCTGCAATAATATCCCGTTGCAACCATTCAAAATCAATCAAATTTTATTTGTATAGCACATTTCAGCAGCAAGGCATTTCAAAGTGCTTTACATAATTAAAATAAAAACGGCATTTAATAAACAGTGAGAGATTTAAAAAAACATCATTCAAACGTAAACGGTGAGAAAGACAAATAAAAAGCTGTAGAACTTTAGTTGAGACGCCGTCAACTGGGACTCCAACCCTTTGGACTTTAGTCAAAACGCCGTTTGACAAGGACTCTAACCTTTCCATTAACCTAACCATTAAGCTGTGCAAAATGCCTGGGTTGACCTAGCTCCGCCTTCGAGGACGCAGCTCCTCCTCCCTCCTGCAGCTTCCGAGCTTCTGCCTCACATAGCTCTCCTTCCCCCACTCTGCTCCTTCAGACTAGCCAGCACCAATTAGCAAACACCTGGTGGAACTGCGCATCTTTGAGCTCATTGTACGAGCTACTTCTCAGTCAATGCTGGTAAAAACATTACTAAAGGGTTAAAGGAGGAACCATGTTCTGATGACTTCCTGAAGAAGGACTTTTTGAAAGATCAGGGGTTTTTAAATTGGGTTTTAAAAACCCAATTTCTCTGTCTCCTATTATTTACTGCCCCTTTAAATATCGTGTCTAGAAAAAAAAAAGTTTTTAATCTGATCTGAAAAAAAAAATCTCCTTAGACTTGGTTTTGTTAGAAAGTGTTGAACGCCCCCACTTACAGCCCGTTTCCTCCACTCTTTGACTTTGTGGATCCTGTTCAGACTGGGCCTGATGGGATCTTCCCCAGCCCCTCCACCACCCTCCATCACCATGCAGCCTCCCCCTCACAGTGGTTGTGGGTCGGTACCAGGCTTGGTAATTGATCCCTCTGGGCCCTGCAGATGGATCCAGCTGAGGGCTGAACAGGCTCACCACTAAGCAGACAGCTGCTCAGGCGGGCCCCCATACAGGCTGATAGAAAGGGAGAAAGATAAAGAAACACTGTTGCCACTAACGGTTAGCCCCGTCTGGCGGCATCCCGTTCTGCAGTGAGCAAACTCAGCACTTTGCTTTGTCTTGAAGCGAACAAGTTCCCTCCATTTTTGGGGAGGTGTTAACAGGGAGTAAAGCAAGAGGAAGGGACATGGTAAAGTCCATCTTTTAAAGTTCTTATCAGCAAACTAAGCGCCTGCAGGAATAATCTGCTAAGTAAGCTTAAATTTAAGCTTCTTCTGTGCAGCGAGTAGAAAAGTCCACTTTTGTGTTTCAGCCAAGTGTCCACATTGCTTTGCTCTACCGCTTTAACAACTTCAGGATGGATGAGAAGAAAGTGGCTTTACAAGCATCGATTGATGTGGAGTTTATGTTGAGAAAAGAACTTTTGAGAGTTGAAACATAATTCAACATGTCAGAATGTCGGCGCTGCAGTTTTTGTCGTAACTGCAGCGCCGTTACGATGATAATATGTTACTATTTATCTAAATATTGTATTTAACCTCTATTTAAAGCCTTTCTGTTTCTGAGATTGAAAATGAATAATGGCTCAAGAAAGGCAAGCAGTGTTTCTTTGGCTTGCACCAGTCTTACACAGCTTAATTCAAATAGAGGTAATAAAAATCCTATTGGCAACAAAAAATAAATGAAAAGAGCAATAAATTAATACATTTACGCATTATCTTGTGTTAAAATACTGCGTTATAAACAAGTAAAAGCCTTTTTTTTTCTTGATTTAAGTGAGTTGACAGTTTCCGAACATCTCAGGTTTCTAGGGAGTTGGCTCCATTTTGCGAGAGCAGCGCCTGATTGATTTTCCATAAATCTGTAATGACACAAATACAATAATAAAAGAATCCTCTAGTTTTTCATGTGCTCTGCTCTGACAGGAAACCCTAATGTGATCATGAGTTTTAAGGCAAGGTTGTTACAGTTGAGTTCTGCATTCATATCCACACCAAGTGTTTTGCATTCTTACTGGACTTTAAAGGATTTTAACAAAGAATTTTTTAATTTTTTTTTTTTACCAATTTCATGTCGATCCATGTCTATGTGCTATTGACTTTTGTTCAGTGTCATTTGTTGGATTAGATTGAAGTGTGAGAAAAACATCCTTAACTTTCCTATCCTTTCTACTCCCAAATTCTGGAGGTATCTCCGATAAACAGAAACAACATAGAACATACTTTCTCTAATTCTAATCTTTCTACAGTAACGCCATAGCTATTTCAAGAATAACAATCGTTTCCTTTTGAATGCTGCATATCAACATTTTAACAATGCCAGAGCTACACTATTTGACCATTCTTACACCAACACAAGCCCAGAACAACCTGCAAATTAAAAGTTTCCCTTCTAGATAAGGTGGTAGTGGTGGTGTTGATGGGGGATAAGACTGTCTAAATTTGAGAATAAATAACCTCTTGGACTTGATAACCATCGCCCCCTTCCCCTCTTCCTCTCTTCCTTCAGGCTCTATGACGCGACAAGAGTTCCCCTCGACATTCTTGCACTATGGAGAGCATTGATGACCCCTTGACAGACAGCCAAAACCCACCAACCAACACCACCACCACCCACCAACACAACAGCAACTCCACCCTAACCCTGGTCGCAGAGCACCAAGGGCTTCTTTGACGCTGCAAGGTACAATAAAAACCCTGTTTTAAAAACCCTTAGGGTTTTTTATTTTATTTTAAAGAAAGCTCATTTAAATCAGTGACCAGGGCGGGAAAACCTTGAACTTGACATCAATTAAGACTGAAGAAGCAGTGTAGCAGAGATAAGAAATACAGCCACCTGCAGGTGGGAAAACAAACTAGCATACAACTGAAAATTATCGCACTCATTTTAACTTATCACGCTATCATTTGATTTATTGTTTTTTATTGCAGCAGGTGTATGCCTAACTCTGACAGATGTATTGAACAGTTAACCAAATCTTGCTTTAAATTTCTCCACAACTTTATTCCTGGCCTGTTTGCTGTGTTACTTTGTCTTCATGATGCTTTTTGTTCAGTGGGCTACGGCAGCTCTGGAGGGAAGTGCTTGCATGAAAGTTTTAGAATTTAAATTGTAAAAAATAATGATAAAAAATCATCTGTAAAGCATGTATATTTTTTCCACTCTGTAGACATGATAGAGATCAGAGTGTGAAGACATTTACGAGGCACTTTATTCATAGGGATGTTTATAGCCTTATCCTACAAGCTTTAAAGAACAACAACATCAAGCATACAAACAGTGTTTGCTTGGCTGTTTGTTTGGCTTACTCATTTTCTCTTGTGTATGTTTAGCCGCTGAAAATCCATGTGTGCAGCAAATCTAATAACACTATTTCCCCCCCTAACTTTTATAGGCACACCTTATATTTTCCCTTACAATTGCCTCGCTGCGACAGGTTGCATCAGGCTGACAAACAACGCAGGGCGCCAGACAGACCGGGATATTAATACATGCGACTGGGAAATAGAGAGTAGCCGTGCTGTAAATTTAACATGCGGCACAATAAAAGGGTTGAGGCCGAAGTCGTAAAGATGGCCGCTCTCACGAAGAAAGCCAGCCTCGTCTGTTGAGTCAATACTGTTGCCATTTATGGCCGGTGTTATGATTCGCTTTTAAAGCAAAGATTTGATCCTGCTGCTTTTCTGTCCAGACGAGTGTGTCCACAGCAGATGCCAGACTATATTTAGACACAGAGCTCGATTCCTGTTGTAGACTCTTACAGCTGTAGTGCGCAGCTCTGTTTACTCAGACAGGATAGAAGCATTTAGTCCTTTAATTGAGTCTCTCTCTGTTTACACTGCCAGGCAAAAGTATTCCTACCTGTTAAAATTTTCTGCATTCTAACTTTATACTTTATGTATTTTATTGGGATTTTATGTAAGGGAAATATTTTTGACAATTTTCTTAATTAAAATGTGCACCCTGCACTGAACCCCTTTCAATCTGAGACCCCTAAATAAAATCCAGTGTCGAGTTGATGTTCTCTCTACTAAGTTGTTGGTGACATGCCCCCATTCGATTTTTGCCTTACAGTAGTAGTTGAAGTCAGTCAGTTCTGTGAAGTATTAACAAAGAAGGGCTTTAAAAAAAACCCTCATCCATAGGCCTGTCGCGATAAACGATAAATCAATTTAATCGGACGATAATTAAACCTATC